GAATCATGAGAAGCATCAATGTTGCCTTCTCTCCTGTTCCTGCCCTGCCCCCAACTCGGCAGCCATTAGCGATGTGTGACTGGTTACTGAACATGACTGCTAAGCAACATCCCATCCTGTTTTATTTTGATGAATTTAAAATATACATACATGCAAATAGAAAGAGCAAGGTACCAGAGATATTGCAATCCAGATAGAGCTCTACTTCCCTGGCCTGGAGTATGGCTTCTCCTGGTTCCTGAGAGATGGCCTTCACCACACCACATAGTTCGGCTGAGGTTTTTGAGGGGGCCCAAACTGAGCCTGAGACATGGCTGGTTCCACTTGTACAGGGAAGCAGAGGGTCTTGAGCCCTGAAGAGTGTGGCATGAGGCACGCTGGTCCATGTTCCAGAGTGAGCACAGTGCTGTCGTTTCATTGACTTCCACCAATGGCTGACTAAACTTACAGCAGTAAGATGGCAGAAAAGTCAAAACCCAGTCTCTTTGTTGCACTAGCCATGCTCCAAGCACTCAGCGGCTGTGCGTAACTTGTGGCTACCGCATTGGGCAGGACAGACATACGGTATTTTCGTCCGCATAGGAAGCTCTGTTGGCTAGCCCTGCTTTGGGGCTTCCTTGGGGGCTGGGGGGTGGGGTGTTGTTGTTGTTGTTCTCTTTCCCTAGAAGCTCCTCCACTGTCAGCTGGCAGGACTCAGGTCCAAGCACCAAAATCTCACATCCTATATCCATTCTGCAGGAGAAGCGGGGCCAGTCCTGCCCTCCACAGTCCACTCGTCCTCTGAGAGCTCACATGCCTGGCACTTCCCGCCCCAACCTAGGTTTACAAGGGCTTCCTCTCTCCTCCTGGTACTGCAAGACACAGGGTCTGCAGGACACAAAACCTCTGAAAAGAGGAGAGAGAGTTAGGTGTGGCGGCGTAATCCTGTGGTACCTGTAATCCTGAGGCAAGAGGGTTGTGAGTTCCAGGCTAGCCTGGGCTACATAGTAAGATGCTCTCTCAAAGAGGAGGTAGGCAAGCCTGAGTGGTGGTGCACACCTTTAATTCTAGCCTAGCACTCAGGAGGCAGAGGCAGGTGGAGCTAAGTTTGAGGCCTGCCGGAGAAATCCTGCTTCTGTCTCCTTCTCTTCCTCCTCCTCCTTCTCCCCCCCCCCCCATGCATGTGTGTTCTCTACATTTATTTCTATTTGTTTGTTTGTTTGTTTGTTTAAGCATTTAGACAAGGTCTCAATATATATAGCTCTAGAATTCACTATGTAGACCAGGATGACCTCGATTTGAACTTGCAGAGATCTGAGATCTGCCTATTTCTACCTCCCAAGTTCTGGGATTAAAGGTATGTACCTCCCAGTTCTACGTTATTTTTCTGAGACAGCATCTTTCACTGATTGGCCAGTAAGCTTCAGGATGTCTTGCCTTGGCCTCCCCAGCAGTGATGGGGAGGCCACCACCACATTTGGCTTTGTATGTGGTTCTGAGGATTCAAACTCAAGTCCCATTCTTGTGTGGCAAGCGCCTTATCCACGGAGACATCTTCCTAACCCACAGTTCATTCTTGTTCTGACAAGTCCATGGTAAAGTAAGCCAGTGTACACTTCCCCATCTCCACCACTCCTGCTTCAACCCCTCCTCTGCTCTCTAAAATCACCATCTGTGACTGCCCCCTGGAAGATCCGAGGGAGCCACTGGTCCAACCATCTCCTTCTGCATCAGGCCCCAAGAAGGATGCACCCAAGCCTACACGGCATCCGGCTCAACCTTCAACAAGCACAAAATGACTGCAAGCAGCATGTGAGCCACAGGAATCAAGTTTATCAAGTGTTCACGACGTGTTTAGGGGCTTGATAAAGTCACTACGGTTGGTTTGTACCACCAGCGCCAGCATCAGATTCGATTCTGAGGCTGACAGTTTAGCTGACTTGCCTAAGGCCACACAGCTAGTTAGAGGCGGAGCTGGGACCCAAATCTAGGTCAGCTGGAACCTGAAAGTCGCTATGCGTCAAGTGAGTCTGAAACCAACTTCCGAGGATCAGTCTTTCCCTCTGTAGGGCCTGGGATGAGGTGAGTGATGAGAGAAGCGAGCAGAGAGTTGATTTCAAGAGCAGCACGTAGGATGCAACACTGCTCAGTGCCCATGCCCACTGTTTTGGGCATTGTAAGTAACCATGGGTCATAAAATCAGTGTCTATGAAGTTTCCCCTCGTAAGATGAGCTTGTGAGGGTCTCTTGAGGATTTTCTTGTCTCAAGACTTATACTTTCCAAGTTCAGAGACTGTATGGTTGGACCCCTTGCCTCTCACTCCAGATGCGCTAGTTTTCATTTCTAACCATGAAGCAAGGAGGACCCAGGGCTGCACGGTGCGGACTGTAGTTTAATTCTGCTGCTACCACCCAACGCAATCGTGCAGAGGAAAGGATGTGTTTGACTTACACTGCCGGGCACGTCACTGAGAGAAGTCAGGGCAGGAACTCCAGGGAGACCTTGAAACCAAACCTGTAGAGGGATGCTGCCTGCTGGCTCATTCACGAGCTCATGCTTAGCTAACTTCCTAAGACAACCCAGGACTGTCTGCCCAGGGAATGGTACGGCTCACAGTGAGTGGGTGGGCCCCTTCTACATCGACTAACAAGACGCAGCCCCACAGACACGCATGTTGCCCAATCTTATCTGGGCAATCCTCAACTGAGACTCCCTTCTCAGATGACTCTAGATTGTGTCAAGTTGACAGTTAATGTTAACTAGGACAATGAGTTTTTCTAGATTGCCAGTTTCAGCCACTGGAACTCCGGCTCCCAAGTTCGAGGTCAGCTGTGCCCTCTGGTGGACAGGAATGGATTCTCAGAATTAGAGCAAATGGTTCTTCCACGGGGGAATTTATGGAGCTAATTTATGGAGACTGTATTGATTTTGTATTAGATGACGATTTTTTTTCTTCTTTTCACCCAGGATGGTAAAACAGATTCCTACACCTGTTGTTTTGTGGGGCATGGGAGCACTGGGGAGGAAGACCAATGTGTGTGTGTGTGTGTGTGTGTGTGTGTGTGTGTGTGTCACAATGAGGATCCTCACGGAGGAATAGAAGCTTCTAGATTGCAAACCTTTCTAGCATCACCCACAGACCTCATGTGCCATGCATGCATGCACAACCCATTCTGAACGAAAAAAGAGGCAACCTCAAAGAGACCCGAAAACCACGCCAGAGGGTCTTCCTGTCAAGCTCCTCAGTGATGGTGGTCGCCTCCCTTCTGTGCTTTTCTCTCATTATTCTTCAGCAACCTGTTACTAAGCAACCCTGGTTTTCTAAAGAGTGAAACAACCATGCTTGTCTGTGCCTCTAGGCAACTGTGGTCAAATCTCTTAGACGTGCTGTTGGATGAAAGTGTGCGGCCCCAAAGGATGCCTGTGATGGTGACTGTGGGTGGTCACCCTGACAGGATCTGGAATCAACTATGAGACAGGTCTCTGGGTCTCTTCCACAAGTTTCTAGATTAGGTTAACTCAGGTGGAAAGACCCACCCTAACTGTGGGTATCATCATCCATGGGCCAGGGTCCCAGACTGCAGAGGAAGGAGAAAGTGACTGAACACCGGCGTCCGTCTGTTTCCTGACTGCAGAGGTGAGGCTGGCTGCCTCAAGCTCCCGATGTTGTGACTCGCCTGCACGATGGACTGCACCCTTGAACTGTGAGACCACACCGCCCCTTTTCATTGATGCCATTTCCTGTCAGGCATTTGAGTACAACAACAAGAAAAGTAGCTACTACAATGGTCAAGGCATGTTTGTAAACTAGTCAGACTCCGTGGCCAAACTGGTTGGTGGTGTTGGAAGTCTGGGTAGTGTTTGCTGGGGTGAGGGAGCCTAGAAGAGGCTGGCTGGGGCGTGCAAGACCTGACCATTATGGTTTTGTCGTTTTTTTTTTTATTTGTTTATTTATTTATTTATTTGAGGCGGGCTGTCCTAGAACTTGCTTGTAGACCAGGCTGGCCTTAATCGAATTCACAGAGTTGGGATTACAGGTGTGCACCACCACTGCCCTGCTCTATTGTTTTTTGATATGAACACTGGTCATATTCGTGTCAACCTCACAATGGTTCATCCATCTATATCCTAGTGGATTCTTTTTCCATTGGTTTTGAGTTTTCAAAACAGTGCATTAGAATGTCATTTGTCCAGGTTACTGAGCATTTACAGGGCTATGATACCCCATAGTCTTTGTGCCTGAGTGAGTGTCTCGCTGGTCCTCACCTTGATCTGAATTATGAAGGCCATGTTTTCCAGTATTCACCCTGCTGTGCCATACATATTTCCAACTCTATCAGACTCTTGCTGTGTAGCCTGGAGGTAATAGCTACCCCAGTTTCTCTCCTCTCTTGTCTCCCCAGCTCCCATTACTACGTCTCATGGACTGGACCTGAATGGGAACAACAGTGTAGAAGCACGGAAGCGTGGGACACAGGAGGGAGCGACAGACCTGGCAGTAGGCTCTCAAAGTCTGCCTCTTGACCTCTGATTCTTCCCCCAGCTCTACCTTCCACATTCCCACCACCCTTCCAGCCTCCTGAGACTTTCTGTTGGGAAGAAAACTCCCTCAACTGGGTGTCATCCCACAGCAGCCGTCAGAATGAATGTACCCCCTCATTCTTTGCACAATACCCTCAACTCTCCACATTCTCGAAGATGATAGGAAATGCAGAGAGGTGGACACACCTGAAGGTGACTCTTTATACAACTCTCTCTCTCTTAGGAAAGGGTTTAACTTCTAACCCAGAGGGGACAGGATGTCTCCCAGGACATTGTGTGAGACTATTAGTAGCTGCTGAGGCTCTTAGTCGTACAGCTGCAAGAAGATTAGTCTGTCGACAGCCCGAGTGAACTTGGACATGACTTTTCCCCAATCCTATCTTTGGATGAAAAGAGAACAGATTACCACTAACCTATGAGGTGAGAGCTTGAACAGAGGACGCGGTGGAGCTAAGCAGCAGACAGCTGAGCCCTGGGCTCCCCTCATTAATGTCCTTTTATTTCCTCTTATGTAGGCAGGTTGGTCAGGGCAGGGGATCCCACAGATTCCTCTGAAAACTGTCAAGATGCTGGGAAAACGAATGCAAAGCTGGCATAGATTGGGATGCCCACGGTTTGGATCTTCAAGGTCTGAGATAAGAAAGAAAAGAGAACAAATGAGACTTTCAGGACGGGGCTGCAGTGCCAAAGACAGCGGCGTAGGTTCCTGGTTCCCAGCGCTGGCTCCACAGAGAGTGTAAATACACAACGTTTTAGACATCGTTTGGACGCAGGGAGGTGTATAAATCTGTGAGAGTTGTCCCGGGGTCACACCTGTGCTGTCACCTGATCAAAGGGAAGCACGTTGCCAGCCTAGCCTCTCCCCACCCCCACCCCACCCCCCAGAGAGAATGATTGTGCTGACTCCAGCCCTCCCCAGGGTCAGGACTGAGAATGACTCTGGTTTGTGGAACAGCCCCATATCCAATAGAATGCCAGCATGAGCCCCAACCGCAAACCCACAACCCAAAGAACCCCCTTCTGGTTCTCTGGCTATTTGGGGACTGTAGTCACCAAAAGCCAGGTAGGTACTAAGTCTGCTTAGACGTTGGCGCCACCCTAGGGTTGACTGGGCTCTGTGCTCTTGGGTTAGCCTTCGGGAAGATTTCAGAGGAACTGATGAACTGTGGCACCTCACATCTATACGCAAATACCTAATGACATTTACAAGGTGGGTCTACTGTGCCCCTGATTTGATTTGTTAGAGTCAACCGCAACTACTGCTTTTTGTTTTAGAAGGTTTTCCCTTGGTATCATTTGGAACGTGATCATCCTTAGGAAACTTGTTGGAGCCCACTAGGTTTCCTAGTGGTTGTACCCAACAGGACTGCATAAGAGGTTGATTGGACTCCGGGCCTGGGTACCAGGTGTTTGTAAGGGTCTAACTAGCAAAGGGGGAGGTCTTTTGCTCTACCCCTTGGCCTTGTTATAAATAGCCCTTTGGAATAAAGTTCTGGGCCCATTTGGGTAAGGATCCAGGGTCACTTGAGTCTATCCTGTGTTTTCTCTCTTTCTTTATTCTCTATTACTAAGTCTCTTATCCCTCATTCCTCAAGAGTTCCTGGGGTAAATAAGCGTGGGGGCTGGTCTCCCACAGAAACTGAAAACGATCCCCTGATAGGTCGCTGGTGGCCTGAAGATGGGGATGCCCATAAAGGGGTGAGGGAGGGAAGGAGCATAAAGGAAAGAGAAGGGAGAGAGAAAAGCCAGACAAGGGGGGACGCTCACGTGGCTTTTGCAGCCTGGCTTGACGAACCCAAACTTCTGCGTGATCTGGTTTGTCCTGAACTCCTGCCATCTGCCACCCACCATCGTCTGGGCTCTGATCTCATACTTCACCAGGCGCTCGGTCCTCAGGCTGATGGCGCTGTGCTCGCAGATGGGGGAGGGGCACTCCAAGTCGGTATGTCTGATTCTCTGCAGAGAGAGTGGCCCATCCATGTGACCAGGTGACCAGAGCTAGCTAACAGTTCCTGACACCCAGCCTTCCTGTTTCATTCTATACAGATAGGATGAGGCCATTTCTCCAAACGGCCACCGCTGGAACCCTGTGACGTCTGAGACCTCTCCATATGCAAACCGCTTTCAATGGACTAGGGCTTGGCCGTCAAGTCAAGCTTCCTCATTGCTGCGCTGGGACAAAGCTCCAACCATGTATACACAAAGGCCAAGGATGCTGTTACATAATTCATCCCTTCCATTCAGTTAGGAAGATGCCTGAGGGCCTGGTGGCCAAGGTTGGAGGGAGGGCCCAGGCAGAGAAGAGACTTGCTCTCAGGACACATTAGAAGGTGGTGGCCACACTGGGACTAAAACTCAGATTCCATCATTTGGCCATTCATTCATTCATCTATCCTCTTATTCACTCAAAGTTTCTAGGTTGGAGACTGACAGCAAAAAATAGAAAGCCAAGTGAGAGCTTGACATTTAGAGAAGAGCGATTTCTAAGCAAATCCTAAATGGAATACAGCAGTCCTTCACCACGGTACCCATCGTTGTCATTACCCTCTCTGCTGGACTAGGAGCACAGTTCAACTGTACAGCATGTGCTTAGAAGGCACAAGTGTAGTCAAAAGTTTCTTGGGTCCCACGCCTGCCACTGCCCCCTCCCATTCCCCAGCCACTTCTAAAATAATCACTCAGAGGCTTAATACTAATTATCAACTGTGTGGCCTATGGCAGGCTTCTTGCTAGCTAACTCTTATAACTTAACCCATTTCTATTAATCTGTAAGTTGCCATGTAGCTATGGCTTACTAGTACTTCCACATCTTGCTTCTCCTGGCGGTGGCTGGTGTCTCTCTCCAGACTCCACTTTTCTCTTTCCTGTCTCCCTCCTTGGATTTCCCACCTGCCTCAAAGCTGCCTTGCCATAGGCCAAAGCAGCTTATTGGTTAACCAATGGGAACAACATAGATTCACAATGTACAGAAAGACATCCCCCAGTACACAAGGCCTTGAGTTCCATCCCTAACTACCAATCTCAGATAAAACATATACAATGCTTTCTATGCCCAATCTGTTGCAAGCCCTTTGCACAATTAACACATTAATACTTTGAGGTCGGTCCTGTCCTTGTCTTCTTCAGATGCCCTGCTGTGTCACGCTAGACAGACTCATCCCCTCTCCTACTTGTGGGCACTACCTGTCACTTCTTCCAAGTATGACCGTGGGCAAAAAGAAAACATCAGCTATTATGTACAAACTGACAATGATTTGACTCCCAGGACAGACAAGCTGAACCCTGACTTTGTCAAGAGGCCACATGACATGAAAGGGAAGTCAGAGTTGACAGCCTCATCTGCTACCAGTACTGACCTCCCCAGCTGCTTGTGAAAATCACATGGCGTCATATCCATGAGTGTGAACAGTGCTTTTGGACACGGCCTGTGTGAAGGATGAACTAACGATTCCTCAATTCCATTTAATCCCGTATGAACGGGCTGGCCCTGAGTGGCTGCTGCTTCAGAGGTGTGCCTTCCCTGTGCTCCTGCTTCTTACCTGCATAGAAAAACTGTAAGAGGTCGCATCATGTCTGATTCCCTTTATCTCAAAGAAGTATCCATATATAGAAATCCTTTCCGAGTAAGTGGTATATTCCTACATCGGGAAAGAGAAGCGGCAAAGTGAGAGGGGGAAATACCATCCGTATTCCAACGCAAGAGGATGCAGGAAAACCAGAGGGACGCACTCAGAATCTGCCACTGCTCAGAAACAGCTACCAACTTCTTCCAATATTCCTAATCATTACTTTGCATGATTCTTTCGGGGAGAAATAACAAGTTCGGTATGGTCTGAAACGACCCAGGGGGCTGCAGTGACTCTTGTTCCAATGTGATGGGCCTGTGAGACATGCCATACTATTCTGCAAAAAGATCTACTTTGGTGGGTCGCTGCAGCCAGGTACTGAATCCATCTCTCAGATGATAGATTTAGATCCCAAGTCCCTGAAACATGAGTTCTTTTAAGATCTGTGCTAATTACCTTAAATAAGTCATACACCAGCATTAAATATATATGTATTTAATTAAAATATAATAAATATATATAGCAACAAGCCCAAGACAGAGCACAGCCACCCACCCCAGATCCTGTCCTGTGACTGAGCACTGAGATGCCTCACACTGGAGCTCCATGGCCACCCATGGTTTGATTGGAATCCACTGAAACAGCTCCGTGAACGAGGCAGGTCTTGACATTTGGACTGGAGACTTCCTGAGTCTTTGGTAGCTGTCAGCCCTTGTGTTTGTGTGTGTGGTGGTGGGGGGGGGGTTGTGATTAGCCCATGATTTCCCCAGATGTTTCCTGCTTTTAGGAAGAAAACTCTCAACTCCCAGGAAATCTCTTCCATCCTGGGAAAAGCAGGGACCATTGGTCACCCTAGTGGGAAATTTGGGCCACATGCATCAGATTGCTGACTGGTTTGTTCCTGCCCTCTGTTTTATCGATTTCCTAGGACTTTGATGGCTCTACTACCAGAGGTCAGAGTGGTCATGGGTGGCCCCATAGAGCTCCTTCGCTCGGCATAGAAGGGATAGCTCTCCCCCTTGGCTGGGTCAAGTTTTCAGTACCTGCCTAAAGAGCAGCCCAAACCTCAGGGCTTGTGTAGAAAGATCTTTCAGGTGGATCATGTTGCCCCCGTTCTCCAGCTGAAAGGGAAATGCACACAGCTTACCTGATGCATGGTAATGCACCCCTTATCATTTCCCATCCACCCACTCCTGGGTCTCCAGGCCCCACGGTTTTGTCCAGACATTTACTGAAAACCTACTATATCCAAGCACTGTTCCCTGTGTTTCCAGAGCGTGCAGAGGAGAGAGGAAAATGGCTAAGCAGTGTGATCAGGGGAATAAAAGATGCCCATCAATAGCATCATCATGGGAATGATCATGGTCACAAATTCAAGAGTGGGCAGGACCCTTGTGTGACATTCTACAGAGAAGACTGGAGAGTGGGGTATGGATCTCAGGAGCCCGAGCTTACAGCCAAGGGGTAAAAGGAAGGATTGGACTGGGTCAGGGGGTGGGAAGATGGAGCTGGGAACTTTCTCGATGTCAGTCTCTCTGGCCACCTTGAGAGAGGAGTTTGAATTCTATCCTAGAGAAGCAAGAGCTCTCTGTGGAGCGGCCCTCTAACGCACAGGGAGAAGGGCACTTGGAGGGCTGGTTCCAACATCACAATAAGTACTTGTGGAGCTGGCTGAATTTTAACTCGTGACTCATGCATCTTCAGAACTCAAACACTGCCCCGCTTCATCTCTGAAAATGTTCCATTGGAAATGCACAAGAAGCAGGGCAGTTTGTATGGACAATCCACAAAGCAGACACGTGGAAAAATACTCGTGTTTGCCAGTCATAAAAGAAATGCATATTTAAAGATGAAATGCCATTGTTCCCTCCTCAATTAACAAAAGTGGTCTGAAATTTAAATGCCCTATACTGCCAAGTATGGGGACAGCGGGGGTGAGTTCATGTCTTTGGTGGGGGCAGTCATTTGGTCCCAACATTTATTAATATACACCAGGAACAAAACTGTACATATGCTATAGTGCTAGCATTTCTACTGTGGAAAATCTCCTACAAGCAAATAATTCAAAGTACAGAAAAATAAATTATTATGTGAAAATGTGATCCCTATATAAAGGCAGTAAAGACAATGCAATATTGACTGTGGCTGTTGTCTTTGGGTGATGGTCTGAGGGGATTTCTTTTCTCTGTAGTTTGAACAGCTTTAATAATAAGCACATTCATATTTGTGTCTACTAGGGCCTGGGTTTGGAGGGAGGTGTGACCAAAACTCTTCAGCCCTGGCTAAATTTCCAGATCACAGGCCATGTGGGACCTCGCCCTCTTCTCTTCCCCTGGAGGAGGCTCCAGATAGGCCTCAGAGACCCAGAGATTTCAAATGAGGAACATATCTCCAGAAAAGGCAAAGCTGCTTCCTTGAGAAGCCGACTCACTGCGTGATAATGGTTGGCTGTAACCCGGACCAGCCAGGACTCAGGGAAGAAATTAATGTGCCTTAACTCCTCCAGATCCTTGCCTTAGAGAGACACAAGGGGAAGTGGTTACAGGCTTGTTCAGAACACAATTTCAAACGTCTGACTTACAGAAGGAAAAGGAGAGCCATCAGGCAAGCAAAAGGGCTAGTTTCCCTTGAATATTTGTTGATAAATAGGAGGCCAGTACCTAAGAACCACTATGGCTGTATGCGTACTCCAAATTTATCCCTTTTTGAGGGGAGGGGGTTCGAGACAGGGTTTCTCGAGCCAGGTGTAACAGTCCTGGCTGTTCTGGAACTCACTCTGTAGACCAGGCTGGCCTCAAACTCACAGAGATCCGCCTGCCTCTGCCTCCCAAGTGCTGGGATTAAAGGCGTGTGTCACTACCACTTCCCCATCCCAAATTTATTCTTAAAAGAAAAAAAAAAACTTACAGTACCAAGGAGATAGCCCAGTGGGCAGAGTGCTTGCCACGCAGGTGTAAGGATGGGAGTTCTGGGTGGACACCTGCAGACCCAGAGCTGGGGAGGTAGACACGAGAGGCCTGGAGCAGGCTGGCTAGCTAAGCCAGCCCAATTGGTGAGAGACTCTGCCTCAATATATAAGATGGAGAATGATGAGGAAGACACTGGATGTCAAATTCTACATGAACATACAAATGTATACAATTGCATGCTTACACATATATGAACATGGACACACACACACACACACACACACACACACAGACTTATACAAAGACACTTCAAAAGGAATAAAATAATCACTCCAAACTGGAGAGCAATTTCAAATTAATAAGAAATGTCTTGTACTATATACTGTTTATTAAAGTTTCAGTTAGCCAGATGTGGTGGCTCATGCCCTTAAGGCCAGCACTTGGGAAGCAGAGGCAGGAGGATCTCTGTGAGTTTGAGGCTAACCTGGTATACACAGTGAGCTCCAGGCCAGCCAGGGCTACATAGTGAGACCCTGTATCAAACAAACAAACACACAGCCAAATAATTCTAGCATTTAAGTTATATTAGTTTTAAAGAAACAGTCTCAACAACCCTGCCAGAACACACCACTGCCAAATGAGCCTTCATCGGTTCTCAGGAAACTCGTGAACAGAGAAAGTTGACATCAAAGCCCCTGAGTCCGGCCAGGCAGGGCCTTTCCCTTTGAACAGTTTGCCAAGGTTTTCCCACCCTCTTGACATTACTCTCAACAGACATCACAGAGAAGAAGGGAAGCAGCTGCTTAGGCTGTGCACTGGTCCTACTCAAATCTGCTTCTGGCAGGGCTGGAGAGATGGCCCAGTGGTTTAGTGCTCCTGCTGCTCTCGTAGAGGACCTGAGTTCAGTCCCAGCACCTACAACAGGTAGCTCATGACCACTGTAGCTCTAGCTCCAGGGGACTCTTTTGGCTTCTGAAGGCAATTTCACCCTCTATCCCATACAATCAAAAATAATAAATCTTTTTTTTTTTTTTTTAAATCTGCTCTGACCAGACATGGTGGCACACACCTGTAATCCCAGCACTTGTAAGGTGGAAACAAAAGAACCAGAAGTTTGAGGCCAGTCATAACAGGTTCAAAGCCATCCTGGGTGACATGAGACTCTGTCTCAGAAAACAAAAAACAACAGTCAGTGAGATGACTCAGAGGAAAGGGTGCTTGCTGACAAGCCTGATGGCCTGAGTTCAAATCCTCGGGATTCGTAAGATAGAGAGCGTCGACTCCTGTGAGCTGTCCTCTGATCTGTTTCTGTTTTTATTTTCCCCAGAGTCCCTAACATGTCCATAAATTACAGAACGCATCACCCCCCAGTTCAAGCATTCCAGCTTCCTGGCTGCAGTCCCGCCTGGCCGGGGGCTGGGGTTACAATGATGTTATCAGTGTCACAAGGGCATCTAGAAGCAGCTTGCCCTGAGTTCCCTGACTCCATCAGCCACTCCCAAGTTTTCAGCTATTACCACACCCCACAGATCTGGGAATGGCTTTGAACTAGTTCTCAAAAGTTCTTCCAGATGCGGCTATCTCACAGAGTGGCCCTCCTGAGCTGCCCGGAACATATAGACAATATTTTCCTCCTCTTTCCACATCATGTCACCTTTCCTCCACCCAGAGCATGAGGAACAGGCAACAAAAGAAGTCCCAGCTGAGGACGTAGACCTGGCATTTTAGGGTTCATTGGACAATGCCTCTCAAATGTATTCAGATGAAAAAAATGGGCCCCTGGTGCATGCAGTGAAGGAAACATCGAGTTCGTTTGTGGGAAACTGTCCCGGTGTGTGTCATGAGGGGGAATTGAAAGCATTACCCCAAGCCTCTTGTACCACATCAGGTCAGCCAATTAGAAAGGCAATAAACGGCAGTGAACTCTTCTGGTCTCATCTCTGCTCCGTATTCACCGCAGGAGGGGACAGGAAATGAAGCTGAGGTTAATATGCTTAGCCTGAGCATGTTAGGAACCAGAGACGAAGTGGCTCACAGATGGCTGGAGAGGAGAGAGCCAGGCCGGGCTACACTTTGCAACAAAGTTGGAGCAGAAGTGACTGAGGACTTCTAAAGAGCTGCAGTCTAGCTGATGAAGAAGGGGAGCCACACTGCAGACTCGGGGAAGCCCGCCCGCATTTCCTTCCCTAGAGAAGACCACAAAGCATTTCACCTGCTGGGACAAATGGTTCCAGCAGGTGAAATGCTCAAGAGAGAGCCAGATTCTCTCCCAAACTGCCAAACAAGTGAAGTGACCTAGAAGCTGATCCCATGCAGCAGCAGCAGGCGATTCAATTAGATGCTAAGAGAACAGCCTCGGGCTATGGGGATATTATCCAGCTCAGGTGGTAGAGGGGCTTGCCTAGCTTGCGTAACCGGACAGGGTCAGATCCCCAGCACCACATAAATGGAGTGTAGGGAAACATAATCCTAGCACTTGGGAGGTGGACACAGGTGGATCACAAGTTCAAAGTCATCCTCAACGACATACTGAGTTTGAGGCTAGCCTGGGTATATGATACTCTGTCTCAAGAAAAAGGAAAGAGTTGGGGGGGGGGCTTTGGGTGGTGACACAGGCCTGTAATCCCAGAACTCAGGAGGCTAAGGCAGGAATCATCACAAGTGGGAGGCCAGCCTTGGCTGTCAACTTGAGACACTTGGGAAAAGGGACCCTCAGCTGAAGACTTGCCTCCATCAGATCGATATGTGGGTATGTCTGTGGGGGCATTTTCTTGATTGCTAATTGATTTGGTGGGGGCTCGGCCCACTGTGGTTGGTGCCATCCCTAGGCAGGTGGACCTGAGCCGCATCAGAAAGCTAGTAGAACGTGAACCTGGGCGTAAGCAGGTAAGCGACTTTCCCCAATGGTTCCCTTCTCCCCCTCTGCCCTGACTTCTCTCACTGATAGACCTGGAAGCGGAAGCCAAATATACCTTCCCTTCCTAATTTGCTTTTGGTCGTGATGTTTATCACAACAAAAGGCAAACAATGATAGCGCTTTCTGCCCACCATGTTATTCATGGAACTTCCTGTTAGCCCCCATTTTACAGCTGGGGTTCCTGAGGCGGAAGTCATACATCTTGGAAGTGACAACCCCAGGGAGCATTCCTGTTGCAGCATCTGCTGGGGCTTCTGGGGAGTGTCTGAGACAACATCTGCTGGGGGTTCATCCCCAACAGCCTTCCCATGCATGCAGCCACATGGGTGGCGACACTTACCACTGGTGATGCCATGCAGACGCAGACAAAGGAAGAGCGGCGTCCAGCTCTGCCCGGTGTCCTGTTCCAGAAAGCAGCACTTCTTGGGAAAGCTTGGAAGAGAAGAACAGAAAGCCTTCAGAAAACTCCTCTCTGGAATGAGTGAGCTGCTGCAAGCCATGACCTAGAGACCCAGCAGGGCTAGACAAGGCAGAAATACGAATGCAGGGACCACTTAGATAATAAGAAGAGATGAGTGGTTACATTCCCCTCTACCTTTGAGCCACAGGCTCAGAGGCTCGCAGGCTACTTGAGAGGCTGAGGCAGGAGGATGGCAAACCATACATGGACTATACAGTGAATTCAGGTATGTATGCCTAGAACATACATATTAAATGAATGACAGCATCCTATGTCATTCACAGGGGATTTCTCTACATTTCTTCTTTGAGTTTTACAAATCTGTGGAACAGACAGGTTAAGTTCTGTCAGCTCCATCTTACAGAAAGCTTACACTTGGCTAGGCCTTAAACCTCAGAACTGAACATCTGACTCCTTAACAGATGCTGCCCTTGCACTAAAAACCAAAAAGGCTCTGGTAGTAGCCATTGCTGGTAGAATTAGGAAGAACCTGAGAGTCAACTCTGGATCCCTGGTTTCACTACCAGTTCTGTGACGGCCAGTGTCAATGCTAATGCTGATTAACTGCAACACAGGCTGAAGGTCAGAAATGGGTAGAGAAGGTCAGATTCCCAGGGGAAAGATGTTCTCATGGAGGCTCACACCTACCACCCTTGACACAGGGTAATCAGTGAGCTGCCGCTTAAATACAGTCAGATGCAACCACACAGCAGGGAAAGGCCAGGCCTAGGGGAAGCGTGTCTTCCTCAAACTCAGAAGCCATGAGGTTCCCATTTTGCTACACCACTTGGAGTGGGAAGGCTACTGGAGGAGACCCAGGGCCGTGACCCTCCCTTTGGGAAGCACTTGGGCAGAAGGACTATCAGCCAGGCCCTCTCTGGACAACCATCCTGTCTCAGAGAAATGGGGAAGAGCTTTGAGACAAGCACTCGAACTCCATAACCCTGGGAAAGTGGTGAGGACACAGACGGTTAGGGCTAGTCTGAGAGGTTATGGTCAGCTCAACAACCAACCCATCTGGGGGCCCGGAGTCAGGCACACCATAGTCCACTCCTGGCCTGGACACCCATCTGTTATGTGACTGAGCCTGTCTGAGCTTAATTCTCCTCTGTGGAGACAAGAGCCACGTGTGTCTCCTATGGTGGATGGAAGAAGCCGAGATGACAGTGCTTGGGAAGTACCAGGCACAGTTGCTGGAACGCAGTCAAGTCTTCTGTGCCTCCTAAGTCCTCCCAGGGCCCAGGCATGTTGGGAACATGGAGCTGCGCCTGGCGACATTCATCATCATTGTTGTCCAAACTCACAGAGATCCACCTACCTGGTGGCCTCTGATTTTCTAAATTCTCCGAGGGCCTGAGGGGGTGTGACCCACACTCTGGAACCAATCCACCTCACTCTTCTCCTATGGCTTGGTGACATCCTCTGACTATGCCACCACACAGGTCTAGCCCAGCACCTTTCTACCTGTCTTGATGGTGACAGCAAACTTCCATCTGATGTCACACAACAGGAGCAGGTGGGCTGCCTGGCTGGGGACCTCCGGCCTGGCTGTGCTGATGGATTCCAGGGCTTGTCCAACTTGTCTGCCCAGCCACTGTGCTCTGTCTGTGCATGGACCTCATGGATGGCTCCGCACTTTTCAGGAGCAAACTGTATAAAGTTCCTCAACCCTCAAAGATTGGACCCCTCAGGGAAGACAGTTCCTGGAAACTCAAACACAAACTGGTCACCTATAGGTCCTGCTTTCAAGGTGTACTCTCCCCAGACCTCCTGAAAGATGGTGCTGGAGGCAAACCCCCTTCTGAGGTCACAGACTGCGATTTTAAAGACCTTTCCAGCCACACTTTTCTCATTTCCTTCTTCCCACCATCTGCTGGGGGCAGTGTCCCCTTCCTGATGGTAAGTGTGAGGCTCACAGCTCTACTGGCCCTGCATTTCACACCCGAGCCACTGTGCGGTGGAGGAATCTGATGTTATACCTGGGCGGTGGAGGAATCTGATGTTATACCTGGGCGGTGGAGGGATCTGATGTTATACCTGGGCGGTGGAGGAATCTGATGTTATACCTGGGCGTATTGGTTACTTGTTTGTTTGTTGCCTGATTGAAGCATCTGAAGGGAGAAAAGGTGGTTTTTTGATTTATTTTGATTGTTTTTTCCCTCACAGCTTCAGAGGGATTTCGGTCCCTCATAGGAGAGAAGGCATGGTGGAATCTGGTAGAGGTGTCTCACATCCTGGTAGGCCAGGAAGCCAAGAACTCAGGTTGGAACCAGGGTCAGGCAAAAAAACAAGCCAGAGTCACAGGCCTGTAACTCAGGCTACCTGAGGCTGAGGCAGGAGAATGACAAACCATACAAGGACTACAGAGTGAGTTCAGACCAATCTGAGTAACTTAATGAGACATTATCTCCAAATTAAAAGTTAAAAAAAGGACTGGGATTACAGCACAGTGTTCTGGTGCACGCCAAGCACAAGCATACATGTGATACTATGTCCCATGTGCATGTGCATGTACACACACACACACACACACACACACACACACACACACACACACACACACA